GCTGGCACCCACCTTCCAGGTTCAAATCCTGGTTCCTGCATGTTCAGGCTGTGTCACTTTGACACTTCTCTGCCTTGGTTCCACCTTCTGTACCACAGGAAGAGTGATATTGGCATCCTGAAATGACATCTGTGAAGTAGTTAAGGTGACACTGAGCCCCTGGTGGCCCACAAGAGGTGCTGGGTGAGGGGTCACAGGGGTTACCTGTACTGTTCTCACCTCAGAACTTGCTTCCCTTGGGGATTCCCATTGTGGAGCAAGGTCATGACGCTGGTCTCTCCAGAGGCTCAGAGAATGCCTTGGCGTCCTGGCAGACATGCTTCCCTTCTCCCTCCCAGGACCAGGACTTCCCAGGCTGCTGGGTGGAAGTATGAAGTCCCCATGGGTGAGAGGGGCAAGGGTGGGCAGCTTCCTGTCTCCATCAGCCCTGGACTGTAGCAGCCAGTTCAGATGCGCCAGTGACCCACATCAGAGGGGCTTGTTACTGAGAGAGGAGCCATGGCTCCATGGAAGAGTTCCCTGGACAGCTCTCAGAACACGGGGTGCAGGCACACAGGGTCTGGAGGTATGGCAAGATCTGTGGGTATCTGCTCCATGTCTCACCCTAAGTCAGAAGAATTCACGTCTCTGTCTTCTGCTTGCTTTTCATCAACAAGCTCTGCACCCTGCAGCACTTTCTATCCTCCCCAAACCATACACCCCAGGCTCCCACAGGGGCTAGGCTCCTGCATCAGAATTTCCTGAAATGCCTGGAAAAGCCTTCCGGGCCCTCTCCATAGTTCTGTCCCCTCCTCCAACCTGATCTGCTGACTGAGGGTGTGGATCTCACCCCAGGGAATTTTCCTGGGGGAGCTGGGTCTGGGCAGGCATGTGTGCCTTTTGAGCACAGAAGCATGAATATTTCCCCCTGAATGGAGCTATTGGCAGACAGATGTTTTTCTGGCTCATACCCCGGAGAGCACATGGAAAGTCATCTTATGCTCAGTGGAAGGTCGGCATAGGTGGCAGGGAGTGATGTGTGTGGGGACAGGCCCTGCTTTCCAGAGGGTGGCAAGGGGCAACACCCTGCTCCCGGGGCTGCTAATCTTTGTCAGATCTCCAGGGCTGACCTGGGCATACACGGGCTGTAGGAGGGTGGTAGGGCTGGTTGATGCTATTACGGCCAGGGGTCCCCAGAACCAGTACACAATCACACAGCCACCCCTGCTCCCATGCGGTTCTTCAGGGGCAATCTTGGTTTGCTAGGGCTGCTGTAACAGCACCACAAACCAAGTGGCTCTAACACAGAAAGACCGCCCACAGTTTCCGAGGCCAGAAGTCCAAGATCAAGGTCTTGGTTCCTTCCGAGGGCTGTGAAGAACTCACTCCAAGCATTCCCCAAGCTCTTGGTTTGCTGGGTTCCTTGGGTTTCTTGGCTTGCAGGTGTCTCGCCCTGATCTCTGCCTTCATGTTCACACAGCACTCACCCTGGGTGCGTCTCTGTCCAAGTTTCTGCCTTTATGAGAACACCAACAGTGCTGAATTAGGGGGCCCGCCCTATTCCATTAGAACCCGATTTGTACAGGAAACAATCTTATTTCTAAATAAGATCACATTCTGACATTCTGACACTAGGGGTTAGGACTTCAACATGTGAATTTCTTGGGGGGGACACAATTCAACCCAGAACAGGGGCAGTAACAAAAGGAAGCCAAATCCTGCTCTGTCAACACCTGAGCCCAATAACCATCACTGCAGGGCTCTTGGCCAGAACTAAGCAGAAGACAGGGCCTTACACTAGAGACTTTTGCTCTGTGAGCTGCCTCCCTCCGATGTCCTGTCCTGAGACCATCCACTAACTCTGACTGCAGAGGGGAGGGAGGGGGAAAGGCATTAAATAAACTGACCACATGGAGGAGGAGAAGCTATCTTTACACACTGTGACCCTGCCCACTAGTGACATGTGACTGGTCAAAATTCTAATGCCTATTTCCTGGAGGGAAGGGCACCAGGAAGGAGTGAGCAGAGCGAGATCTGGCAGGAAAACATGGGCTGAATTGTCCCTCTCTAAAAGTTCACCTGGAAGGGATCTGGTGCTTATCCAGATGTCTGCCCAGATCTGGAATTAGAAAGAAGTTGTTGTGGCAATATGGAAACCCTTGGCTCTTCTCAACAACAAAAGGAGCTGGGAGCTGTCGGAGCTAGTGTGGAGCATAGCCAGCAGCCAGCAGCCAGCCACAGCAGGCGCAGGGAGCCACCTGCACAGGGCCACGAGACAGTGGCCCAGCCAGCCACGGCCAAGCCTGGAGGGGGCATCCCAGCTACCCCATGCCAGTGACCACGTGGCAGCAGTGTCCAGGCCTATATTCCTCCAAAGCACCTCCTTGCTTGGAGGTCCTGACAAAGGCCAGACATTATCTTTTCAACACAGAAATTGTCATTGTGCTCTGTGAGGAGGGGCAAGTGACAGAAGTTCCAGGCAGCATACAGTGACCTCATGGAAAAGGGATTCTTGGAGCTGGAAGGGACCCCAGAGCTTCCTTTGTCATGTCTGCAGTGCTGAGATTCACATCTTGGTGTGGCCACTAGCCAGGACTTAGACTGCAGTTAGATGGAGCTGGGCTTCCCATGCAGGAGACCCTGACTTGCTGCTTACCTCTCTGAGCCTCGATTTCCTCACCTGTAAAATGGGAATAACGATTCTCATGCTGCTGGATAACTGTACAGTTAGAGATTGTACACACACGTGCTTAGCCCAAAGGGGACACTCAACTGGGACTTGCTGCTTACCTCTCTGAGCCTCAATTTCCTCACCTGTAAAACGGGAATAACGATTCTCATGCTGCTGGATAACTGTACGGTTAGAGATTGTACACACACGTGCTTAGCCCAAAGGGGACACTCAACTGGGACTTGCTGCTTACCTCTCTGAGCCTCGATTTCCTCACCTGTAAAACGGGAATAACGATTCTCATGCTGCTGGATAACTGTACAGTTAGAGATTGTACACACACGTGCTTAGCCCAAAGGGGACACTCAACTGGGAACCATGATGTCTGTGCCAGGTGGGGAGCTCAAACTTGCCATGAAATCTCTGAGAAGCAAATGCAACAGATTTTAACCTCTTAATTCTCTAAATGGGGAAATTTTAGATTGCCGTGAATAATTTTATTCTGTGAAATCTACAGAAGCTGCAAATAACAATTTCGATTGTGCTGGATGGTTTGATGATATCTGGTTCTTTTTATAAATCCTTTTGGGAGAGCTAAAATGCTAAGCCTGAATTTAGCAATGTATGAAAAACTATAGACATTTTGGAAAAGGAATTTGGCATTGCATAGCAACAATGTGTTGGCATTCAGCTATTTCATTATTCTTTATTAGGTGTGAATTCTAAATTCAGGGTTTTTTCTCCCTTTGAATTCATCACTTCTCAAAATAGATTTCTTAAAAGTACAGATTTTCTAAATGTTCACAGCTCCACTTCCCCATTCAGGTTCTCAAGGACATGAGAGGAAATGGAGCCACAGTTCCCCACAGGGTCAGAGGGCAAAGGTAAACAGTGGTGAGGAAGATGGGATGCCAACTAGAGGGGCCTCAGAGTGGACTCCTTGAGGATCTGCTCCAGAAAGAGGCATTTCAGTGGAGGATCGCAGCCCACCAGCTTCCTCCTCCTCCTCTTCGCCAGCTCTACAGCCCAAATAAGGCTTAAGAATAACCAACTCAAGATAGCAGCACTGAGTTCCAGCTCAAGCTCAGTTCTTTCTGTACCTGGGGCCTCACCTGGGCAGACCCCCAAGCTGAGAGCCACCACTGCCTTCTATCTGCAGGTGCTCCAGGTAGAATCAGGTACTAGACCTCCAGTCAGAGGAGGGTACAGGTGCCACTGACTTGCTGTGTAATGTCAGCAACACCTTTCCCTCTCTGGGCCTCAATTTTTTCATATGCTAAAGAGTGGAAGAGAGAGCAATGTATATGATCTCCAGACTCTCTCCCAGCTCTGTGGGTCTTTTCTATTTCATGTTAATGCTGGATAATGTCCAAATGTGGCCAAAGGTGCTGGACACATTTGAGAGAGTAAATGGCTTGATTTGGGTGGAAGGTAGAATTCTCTTGGGTGGTCAGGTAGGAAGGCTTTCCCTGACCTCACAACATGGCATTAACACCATGGAATGGAGCTGTCTGATGGCACCAAGAGGACTCTAAGATACGCAGGCTGGGTCTTCCCTTGCCCCTCCCCCAAAGAATGAGGGTCCGTCTAGGATCCCCTGACCACGGCCATTGTCAAAGACCACCAGGATCCCAACCCAGGGAAGAGGACTTCCTTGCTAGCATTCTTTCCTGTTCACAACATACTTTGAGCTTTGCAAAGCGTTTTCAAAATTGTTCTCAGCTCTTCCTCCCATGCATCCTCCTTAGGAACACAGAGCCAGGATTGGAAGCCAACAGTGGGATCAGACTCTTCTAGTTAAAAGATCATTGAGAGAATATTGTCCCACCTTTTTGTTTTTCACATAAGACATACAGGTCAAAGGAGTGAACAGAGGTGCCCAGGGCCACATGACAAGTCAGCAGCAGAGTTGGCACCAAAGCCAGGACAGCCAGCTATTCGCTGGGTTCTCAGTGCGGTTTGGATTTCAGAGTCAGACAGACCTGGGTTCAAATCCCGCCTTTACAATTACTGGCCATGTGACCTTGGGCAAAGTATTTAACCTCCCAGGACATCTGTTTCCCTGCATGTAAAACAGAGATGGCCATATCTCCCAGGGCTCAGCAAAATCACATATGGAAAGTGCTTAGCACAGTGTGTAGAATAAAATACAGCCTGATAAGCGTTCACCGTCATCATCGTTATTGGTGTGAACTGCTATCATTGTTATTTAAGAAGCCAGTCTCAGATGAACTGAGGATTGGGCTGGGAAATTGTGGTCCACAGGGGCAGAGACTGGAGCCCTGGTCCATGGCCACCCCAGGCCATGCCTCACTGTGTCCTCAGTAACGGCTTCCCTGTTTCTCCGCAGGCTGGTGGAGCTCTTCTCCACGGTGCCCATCGGCTCCCACTGGGGGGTGCTGTCCAAGTGCTTGGCCTACAGCAAGGCCGCGTCCGACCCCTTTGTGTACTCCCTACTGCGACACCAGTACCGCAAAAGCTGCAAGGAGATTCTGAACAGGCTCCTGCACAGACGCTCCATCCATTCCTCCGGCCTCACCGGTGACTCTCACAGCCAGAACATTCTGCCGGTGTCTGAGTGAAGGACCACACTCCTGCTGAAGAGTTTAGAATGAGGCAGCGGTGAGAAGAAGGGAGGGAGGGCGTGGAGGCCCCTGGGTGAACACCACCAGCTGCCAGCCCCTGGTTGGCGTGATCCTGGTTCCCTTGCTTGTAGGGGCTCCAGAGCCTGCTTCCTGGTTCCTCAAGGGCAGACATTGGACAGTCCCTATTTGTCACCAAAGGATGACTATGGGCCATGTGCTGGCCTTTTTAAGAAGCTCCTGGACTCACCTGAGGCTCCCTGGGGGATGACACTCAGTTCTGTAACTGTCAAGGATGAAGAGAGCTGTTGGCAGGTAGGAAGCATGGTGTCCACCTGCCTGCTGACCACTGGATGCTGCTCCATGCTGAAGAAAAGTGACAGTCTCCAGAGGACATTTCAGCCATGCCAAAGGGAGGCTGGTAGTGGTCATTTGGCCCGGATCTAACATGGCACCTCATCTCCACAGGGTAATGGTGGCTGCTTCAATCCAAATATTATTCAGCTGGTACTAACGACATTGTGCCCAGCTGGGACTCTTGGGCTCTGTGCCTGAGGGAAAATGTTTCACAACTAGCAGCTGCCCAGTTGCTGCTGGCCAGTTGTCTTAGAAATGGTCAGTTGGATTCAGCTTTGCCCTCTCCTTCCCCCTAAAAGCGAATGTTTATGTGTGCAGACAATCCTAGCATGAAAATGCTTTAGATAGGCTGGTCCTACACGTATTAGGTTCTTTCAAGTTTGACTGGGAGGTCACCTTCTGATTTACACGTCCTCGTTGTTGGAGCTCAGTAAAGGCAGGAGGAAGGTGGCTGGTTGTTCCCCCCTTCCCCTGTTTGTGACCTGATTTTTCAGGAAGTGTTTCGCCTTGTCTTATGCATCTTGTCTGGCATGTCCTGGGAGATGGATGAGCAAGAGCTGGCCTGAGCAGGGATTTCTGCCTTGATTTTAAGTCACTGGGTCCCACTGTCCTGGCGCCTCCGTCTTCCTGGTTTCTGCAAGCCTATTAACAGAAAGTAGAGGCTGTTCACGGAAGTGCCCTGTGCTAATGATGAGACAACGAGATTTTTATAGAGTACCGCACCTGTAATACACATGCCGATCTGTTAGCAGCCCTGACCTGATTTAATAAAAACCAAGGAGAGCAGCCCCTGCTTTCTGGCCCTCTCTTCTTTGTCTACTACTTCAAATTGACTTGCGAATACTCAGAGCAGTTACCTTTCCTCGACTCTTAAGTGATTCCTCCAGGGTGGGAAGCGTGGAAAGCAACGGAATCAGACGGCTCATTCTCTCCTTCCAGCTCTTCACATCCTAACTTTGCAGGTATAGAGGGAAGGGTGTGGTCCAACAGGAAGGAAGCGGAAAGGGTCTATTGTTTTTTCTTCTAGGCAGCCCCAATTTTTAAAGGGAAGTGTATGCATGTTTATTTGAAAAGATGTCTTATTAACTCTTAGTGCCTCCGTTAGAAAACAATTCACCTGGCTTAGTCTTGTCTTGTTTCAAAGTTTCTATGGAGACTAGAATGGAGACAGGTGTAGTTTTCAAGGGCGCTTTGGCATCTTGAAGTTGCTGTCAGAGATGTGCTCATACCTGCTTGGGGAAGCCAATGGGGCACGACCCTTCCCAGCTTCCTGATCTGGAGTGTCATGTTGGTAGCTGGAAATCAGCCACGGTGGGAGTGTTTATACCATGAAAACCAACAAATGCTGTAAATCAGGCCATCTGCCCCACGGAGAGCTGTTGTGAAACAGATACCAGTGCGCCGCTGCTAGACATGACTGTGTGTCACTGAAACAAAATTGCTCTGGTTCAGAGTTCCTTTGGCCACTCACGTTCCAATACCAACAGACATTTTCTTCCTGCACCTTCCATCGTCCCAACCCCAGAGGTACCACTGGGATGGAAACCAGCAGAAGCCGAGACAGGATGCTTAGCTGAATCAGAGGACAGTAGCTCAATTCTCACACAAAGTTGGACAAAAGAGGAGTAGTGGCCCAGGGCATGAGGTCAGCCACCAGCAAAATACATTTGCATCAATATCAATTTGGGAGAATAACTGTGGCACATCCTCTGTTTGCTTTTTCTGTGCTATAAAGGCACATGTTGTACTCTAGTTGCTACTCCCAGTAGCAACTAGATCTCTTTTACCTCTTCTTCATTTTTTTACTGTTTGAGACCGAGTCTCGCTCTGTCACCCAGGCTGGAGCGCAATGGTGCCATCTCAGCGAAGAGCCGGCTCCAGGGAAAGAGGAAGAAAATCCTGTCCAGCATGCAGCACTGGAGGGAACACGATGGCGGGCAGCACCTAAGGCCCTGACTCAGTGGGTCTGAAGAGGGCCTGGGAATCCATCTTTTTTTTTTTTTTTTTTTCAGATGGACTCTCTCTGTCACCTGGGCTGGAGTGCAATGGTGCGATCTCAGCTCACTGCAATCTCCACTTCCTGGGTTCAAGGGATTCTCCTGCCTCAGCCTCCCGAGCAGCTGGGACTACAGGTGCATGCCACCATGCCCATCTAATTTTTGTATTTTTGGTAGAGATATTGGCCAGGCTGGTCTCGAACTCCTGACCTCATGATCCACCCTCCTTGGCCTCCCAAAGTGCTGGGTTTACAGGCATGAGCCACTGCACGTGGCCTCTTTTACCTCTTCTTTAGCCAAGAAGCAAAATCTGTCACCCACAGCACCGCATATCTTGAAAAGATGCTTTTCATAATGTTCACTATGCCTCTAAAACCAGTTGTACTGGCATCACATAGACAAAAACTCCAGCTAAGTCCATTCATTGGGCATTTTCATTATTATTTGGACACAGGAATTAAATACCAAGGGAAAGTGAGAAGAAAATTACTGTATTAGCCGCCAGCGTTAGCCAACTCTGCTGTCATTACCGTTAGATGAATGTTTATTTTCATTGCTCTACAGTCTATCAAATTTGCCCCCAGCTTTGTGACTCCCAATCGAATTAACTACCTCATTTTGTTAATTTAATTTTTCAAAGGTAACGTTGTTTTCTCAGATATCAAACACCTGAGATACATAGAAACACCAGGATTTTCAGCATCTGAATCAAACTCAATCTACTTGCTTGACTTCACTCCAGGGCGAGACTTGACATTTAAGGCCCAAACTCTGGTGAACTGTTGCACTGGGTGAAAACCTTTCAAGAAGCTTGAAAATAAGGCCCATAAAAGAGAGGCTTTCAAATTTCTAAATCCACATGTAGGGCTGAGTTCCTAGTCCTACACAATCAGAATTTGCCTTTTTAAGTCACCCTGCAACTATCCCAGCTTTTTCTATGGCACCTTTCTGAGGGAGGGGATTCGACAGCCGTGAGACCTCCAAAGGAAAGTCCATTTGCATTTGGTGCGGTGGTTTTCAGGGTTTGTGTCATAGTCAGCTCTCCTCTCAAAGATGGCTTTCCAATCACCTGCCTGTTTTTACTTAGAAACCAGGATTGGGCAGGAGGGGAAATGGATTTGAGTCATCTCAGACCAACTGTATACACTTCTAGGACTCAGCTCAGCCTCCTGTCCCCATGAGCAATAAAACTCTCTCCTCGTGTTTATGAAATTCATTTTCTTTTCATGGTGCCTTTCTTTCTAAGAAAAGATGGAAAGAGTGGGGCCAGGTTCAGGTCCTGGTTGTCAGGCTTTTACTTGCCTGAGTAGAGGCAGATGAGGCCTTCCCATGGCTGCTATGTGACCCTTGGAGGAACCAAAGACTGTGCATTGTTAGAATTTAACCCAGATGCAGGTTAAACTAACTTGCCTGAGTTTAATGAGGACATTTTATCAGGTGCCAGGAATCCCTTGGGTCAGCTCCTATCCTCTGGACTGGGAGCACCAGGAGCACCATATATTTAGGGTCTCATGTGTCTGAAAGGGAGCTCTTAAATTACTATTCACAAGAGTCACCAAGGCAGGTTGTTTAAAATGCAGATTCCAGCATTGCCTCCTCAGAGATCAATTTCAGCAGGGCCAGGCAGGACCTGGGTTTCGGCACTTTTAATCATTGATGCCCAGGTGACTGATAGGAGTTGTCTTCAAAGCATCCCCTAAGAAAACTGATCTTAGACATTTGGATAAACTCTATAGAAACTGAGTGTTTCTATTAATAAGTGTCTAAGTTTCAGTTGTCTTATATCTTTCCCCAATTCTCCAAACAGTTCAATCTACAGCTTTATTCAAGGGCTGGGGCATTTTGTTCTCAGAGGGACGAACTTGATCTCTCCATTAAATCGCAAAAACCCATCTTCATTCCTTTCTATGGAGCTCCCAGGTCATGGGATGAGACATATTTGGGGTACTGGCAGAAGATGGCAGTGCTGGCTGGTTCTGAGCCAGGAAGCCTTCTTAGAGGACGGGATCATGGCATTCAGAGGGGTCCCCTTGGGGGCACTTGCTCGGGTCTTAGATCAAACTCTGCTTGGGGCAGCCCGGATGTGGGAGGTTATGACATCTGACACCTCTGCCACTACCCAGCTTGTCCTGCCCTCTTCCCAGCCAGCCTCACACACAGGAGCTGACTCAGGCTGAGGCAGGGTCAGCGAGAGACAGTTCTGCCTGCCAGTCCCTGGGTGTGAGTCTCTTGTTGGCTTCCAGCTCATCCCGTGGGGCTGCCAGTAATGACAGTGTCCAAACATCTGGTGAGTATGGAGGAAGTACTAGACACCAGGATATGGACTCACATGGCGGGCCCTGGGATTGGCTCTGGGACCCGGGCTGGGCCGGACCTGGGGAGAGGCTGGGTGAAGCTTGGCCTCTGCAGTTTGCTCTTGCAGGTTCAAGGGAGAAAGTTGTCTGAGATCAGTGTTTACAGGTAGTGTTTTCCACTAATCTTCATCAGAATCTTTTGATATAGGTGCTGTCATTATCTCCATTTTACAGATCTGGGAGGATTTGAAGGTCCTGGAAGCAGGGAGGTTGCAAAACAGGGCAACGCTCTCAAGGAGGGCGGGCCAGACCTGTGACCATGGGGAAACCCTCACCTGCACCCCGCTCTGGACAACTCGAGGCTCGGCAGATGTTTTTCTGCCATAAGGAAACAGCTCCTCACTCTCAGCTCCTGGGCTAACACCCACACCCACCAGCTGGGCCTTGGGACCTCTCCCATCACGTGGCTCCCACTTGCTTGGGAAGGACTTCTCTAAACTTCTCTTACTCTGTATGTGTTTCTAGGGGAATTCTGAGGAACAATGCTTTGCAGCACCCTCTGGGCCCAGAACACATGGCCCACAAGCCCTTTGTGCCAACAGGGAATCTATCCAATTGTTTTGGTGTATGAGGCTCATGGTCAATCCGGATTTCCCTGAAACTCTTGGCCAGCAGCCCCCAGGAGCATCTTTCCCTGGCACCAAAGTGGACCTCTTTGTGCCTTGCAGCCAGGAGGACTGACTTAGAGGGCCTTGGTATTGGCTCTGGGACCTGGGCTGAGATGGATTTGGGGAAAGGCTAGGTGGAGCTTGGCCTCTACAGTTCACTCTTACAGATTCAGGGGAGAAAGTGGTCTAACAGCAGTATGGTTTGCAAGTTCCCCACCTTCCCAGCTGGCTCCCACTGTCTCCCAGACCAACGGCCTATTAGCCCCCAGAAAGTTAGTCCAACCCCAGGCCAGCTGCCTTTGCTGTGCTGTGGCCTAAGACTGTCCTGGTCAAAGGAAGGTGGCAGGAACCTCAGGCTTGCACCTGCCTCCTCACACCTCATTCCACAAACATGGAGTGAAAAAGCAGGAGCCAGACACTTTTGGAAGTTGATTATCTAGAAAGGAGGAATCAGAGGTCTCAAGGAATACAATTGTGCAACTTCCTAGGCAATCTGCATCAGGAGAAAGAAGCAGCTAGAACACATGGTGGTTTTGCTCAGCCTGGCCGAGACATCACTGTGCAGAAGCAGAGATGTCAGGGGTCCGGAGGAGTGGAGTCCTGGAGCCGCTCAGAGGGCGGCACATGGCAGCTGAGGGCTCTGGCCCAGAGCTGTGAACAGACTTGCCTGTTGCTTTCCAAACATTTACCGAACACCTACTGTGGGCCAGGCCCTCTGCTGTGTCACACTCTGGGGGAGACAAGTCATTCCTCTGCAGTGTAGGAAGCAGGGCTGCCCTGGAAGTGGCTGCTCAGTGCTGTGGGGTCCAGGGGAAGGGCTGGAGAAT